TAATATGTGCTTGTGAATTACTCAGGGAACACATTACACTTAATACTTAGAAAATAACTCGAACTGTTTGCATCTTTTATTTTTTTTTATTTAAAGAAAAGGAAACAAAAAATACATGGAGATTTAAAAAAGGGTAGAAATAATACAAAATTACAGAAAAACAAACGGTAAGAAATTGCTGGTTGATAAGTTACATATTGTCATCTTAGAAATAGCTGTTCTAGCTGTGAAGATAGTGAGATTCATTATGACGCCCATTCTCGATGACTTTTACCTACTTTTGAAGACCTACAATGTCTCCAATGTTTTGGTTTTGTCGGCTTTGTTCTTTACTGTTTTGTTCAATTTTATTATAACTGATGATATAGGCAATTCTATTAGAGATAGCGGGAGGCATTATGGTAACCATTATTGATCACCTTGTATTATGCTTTTACATTATCTATTATGTCCACCCTTTTGATTTGATTGACTCTGTTCTGTTATGTCACATTTGGTTCTACTCCCTTCCAAAAAAGTAATAAGAACTGTGGGAGTGACAAAACCCAAAATGTGTAATTGTCATTGTACAAAAGAGAAGAAAAGAAAGTGCTCTAAATGATATAACTGCATGTATGTTTAAGTGTATAAGATAGAAAATGATATCACTGAGTTTTATTGGATCATTGAACAGAACGGTTTGCAGTCTCACTGTTGGAATGTCCACTTTACAAGCTTTAACTTTGTGACTTGAACAATTATTTCTAAGATGACAATATGTAATCCATTAACTAGTGATTTCCTACTGTTTATTTTTTTCTGTAAATCTGTATAACTTGTACCCTTTCTCTGCTTTTTTTTTCTCCTTAAATAAAATTTTAAAAAAAAGAAATAGCTGTTCAGGTTATAGAATTAAAGTATTTAGAATGACATTCAAAAAGTGACAGTACAAACAGTTCTGCTCAATGATCGAACAAAAACTCAGTAATATGGTTATCAATCCTACACATTTGTTTTACATCTCAAAGAGGGTAAGATTAAACATATCAAAACAGAACAAAACAGTAAAAAATAATTTAAAGAAATACAGATTTCAAAGAAAGTCCACTGGAGATCATCACTGTCTATCTAACTGTCTCTAGTTTCTTACAAATAGTTGTCCCCATCTTCACCCACTTTATATACTTATTGCATATTATAGAACTAATCAAATCATTACAGGATAATGAAGGCTTTTTAGGTCTTCAAGATCTAACATTAGGGAAGACAATAATAACTACCATCGCATCTCTCATTCTCTTCATGATAGCTGTCCCCATCTCTACATATGCTGAAATTGAACTCAAGAGACCAGACCAATGTCATTCTAATCAGCGAACAATAGTATTGCTAGAATTTATATCATAATGCTACAAAATTAGCCTCGGGCTTCTTAGCGTCTCTTCTTCAGAGTATCTGTTCATTACACCTTGCATTATATAATCTGGTCCCATAAATAATTTTAAAAAAAGACTCATGTGTGAATTTCTACATATATATCTATCCTCTCTGTATTATAGGGAAAACCAAGTCGTAGCAAGACAGCAAAACAAATTCCTAGAAAAACGTGCAATGGATAAGACATATAAGACCACAATATAGATGATCTTCCATAGTTACTATGTTTTCTCTTGTTATTTTCAATAGATTTGTCCACAACAACGGCTAAACATAGTATTACCTATAGTTGAGTTTTATAAAAACTCAACTTTGCAAGCATTGTAGGATTTGAGAGCTGTTAATAGTTAATACCAGTATGGATATCCTTTACATCTTGTCATCTTCAGAGTAGTTGCCTCTACTTTTAGGGTTGATACTAACAAGCATACCAAATTCAAATAAAATCAGCCAAGGGCAACCCATAGTCTTATGATTCAGATTCAATTAAGATCAGTCATAGTAAGACAATGTAAGTATTACAGGATTTCAGTTTAAGTTAATAGGAAAGTAAGGATAGTTACCATGGTATAACCTGCTATTTTTGGGTCAAGATGTATGTGCCCTCAAATCTGACATGAGTGGACAGACCAGAACAAATTAAATTCAAACTAAATATGGCGATAAGACTACTGTGTCTTTTAAATCCTTATACACCATTAACAATGACCTCTGCCTTTTTTTATAGTGTTTCAGAGCTGTCTATACTAAAGACTATAGCTTACCATCTCTGCCTCATGTCTGCTACTCCACTTTTCTGCTATAATTTGTCCACCTTATTCCCTCATTCCACTGTCTGCCCCGTTCATTGAGGCCTCTCTGCCACTGTTGCTGGAATCCTGGTATCCCTTCCTCTCTTTCTCTGTAATGTCCTTCAGCACTCTCTGTAGGATTGGATTGGTGGCCACGAACTCCCACAGTTCCTCCTTGTCTTGAAAGTATCTTATTTCTCCATTAATTTTGAGAGAGAGTTTTGACAGGTATATGAGCCTTGGTTGCATATTATTTTCTTTCAGGACTTGGAATATTTCTCCCCACTCCCTTCTTGACTTAAGAGTTTGTGTTGATAAGTCTGCTGTTATTTTGATAGTTTTCCCGTTGTAGGTAATCTGCATCTTTTCTCTGGCTGCTTTTAATATTCTGTTCTTTTGGTGGATTTCTGGAATCTTGATTATTATATGTCTAGGTGTAGATCTGTTTTGGTTGTAGGTAGCTGGTGTTCTGTATGCCTCTTTTATCTGGATATCATTTCTTTTTGCTATACATGGGAAATTTTGCTTTAATATATCTGTGAATATTCTTTGTATTTCATTTTTGGTTGCTCCTGCTTCCTCACTCACATTCTTTATTCTTAAGTTATATATCTTTTTGACATCTTCTAGCCTTTGAATTGTTTCTTTCTGGTTCCTTGTTATTTTTAAGAGGCTTTTTCTTTCACGATCATATGCCATAAATCTCTCTTCAAGTTTCAGAAGGCTGTCTTTAGTTTCTGTCAAGGCATTTTGCCATTGTTCAATGGAGTTTTTAGTTTCTGGGTAATCTCTTTAGATCTGTTTCATGTATTCTAAGTTATGTTTAAATTCTTCTTCAGAAGTTTCTCTTTCTTTTCTGATTTCCTCAGTTCTTCCATCTGTGTTCTCTTGGGCGGGGCTTGTCATTTCTTTAATTAATCTCTTTATATCTTGCCTCACTTGGATCAGGAGTACAGCTTGAAATTCATCTATGAGGTCATGAAAGTATTTTTTAATTTAGCTGATGCTGTGTCCAGTTTGGATGGTTACTGTGCTTGTTCTCTTCAGTGTTTATTTGTCCTGGGCTTATTTTCTCATGTTGGGCAGCTGGAGATTTTTTATTTTTATCTCTTGTCATGTTTCTGGATTCTTTCAGATTGGAGTGTCCTGGGGGTCTCTGGCCCTCTCTGTACTCCTTAGAGCCTTTCAGAAGTGTGCTGACTTGAGTTTTTGTTGTCCTCCCCAATTTGCTGTTATCTGGGGTAGGCTGGGATGCAGGGGCGATACAGGCTAGCCTCCAGCCTCTGTGCCAGTCAATCCGTAAATTAGGCTGTACTTTCTGCATGTCACTGAGTTGTGACTATTTTGTATCTGCTTATTGGGCCCCAAGCAGAGGGCTGGTTCAACCCCAGTAGCTCCTGCCAGTTCTCTCTGTGCCAGAAACAGCTGACTAATATCACCGTGGCATAGGGTTCTGCCCAAATCCCAGCTGTTCTCTTCCAGACCTCTCTGTGACAGGAGCACCAGGACAGCAGGTCTGCCCAAATCCAAGATATCTTCCACTAGTTCTCTGTATGACGCTGAAGCCAGTACGGCGTCAGGCTTTGCCCAATTTCAAGATGTCCTCCACCAGACCTCCCTACAGGGTGACTTGGTGATGTCACTGAGCTGTATGTTCTGCCCAGCTCTAAGATGTCTTCCGCCAGCCTCTCTGTGTTATTGATGTCCCCGTGGTGGCGGGCACTGCCCAGTTCCCAGATGCCAACCCCAGCAGCCGTGGGGTCCCCAGTACTCACCAGGGTTCGGTGCAGGTCCTCCTCTTGGGTCTACTGCACACCATGCCGCTCACCTTCCCTGTGCTCTCGGCACAGCGTGGAATGGTCAGAAAACTGCACAGCGTTCGACTTTGGAGCTCCAGAGCCTTTCACAATCTCCTCTGGTGCAGCGGGGCAGTCCTGGCTGCTTCTCGGGGTCCCCGGTCTCAGTTTCCAGCAGTCACCAAAAGCCAACACAGCTTTTCTTGTTGGGTCCATGGGTCAGTTTGCTGATTTACAGGCGCGGGATTTGCAGCCTCCCGTTATCAGCCTTCACAGTCTCAGCACGACTTTAAATCCTCCAGCCGCGCTGTCTTGGTTAATAAGAATTGTTATGCATTTGTCTGGCCCTCTCCATGTTGTCATGTTCTAGCTTCTAGTATGATTTATCCGGAGGGACTCTCCGCCAAATCCCCTAGCAAGCTGCCATTTTTTTTCACTATGTTTGCATCTTTTATAACCTAGTTTTTCTTCCCTTTACCTTTTTCCCATTTCTTAGTCCTTGAATATTTAAATATGCTAATCCATCCTTCAAACAATAAATATATCCAGTCCACTTTAAGTGCTTTATAAAACTGTTTTCATTTTGGACAATCATCAGGATAGAGACGGGGATGATTTACACATAATGAGATATATTGATTAAACTCATTCAAGACATTGTAATTAAGTGTCTTCAAAGTACTGAGTGCTAATGAACATAATATATTACAGAATTAACTCAGAAGCTGAAAATTTGCTATTCCTGTCCTTGAATATCACAGCATCAAGATGACAGCAGTTTGCAATTTCATCACAAATATCCTCATCTCCTTTTCATGTATAACATCAATAATATTTCTTTCAATATCAGCTGAATTAAATCATTATGATCTTGATTTTTCTTTAAAGATATATTTTAGGGAATTTCCATTCAAGAATACTTTAATTTACATTTTGTAATGTATGATTTGGTTATATAAAGTAATTAAAGTGGTGGATCACAGAAATATGAACTTACCATAACAGATCAGGGCCAAGGATATGGTTCAGTGGCACAGTGACTGCCTGGCAGGTACAAAATGTCAAGTTTCATTTCTAGTACAAAAAATAAAGATAAAACAGCTATTATGTTTGAGGACCTCCTTCCACTCTTGTTTTTTTTTAAATTTTATTTAAAAGGAAAAAGAGAAAAAACAAAACAAAACAAAGCAAAGCAGTGTAAGGGTACAAGTAATACAGAACTACCAAAAAAAAAAAAAAACAGTAAGAAATCACCGGTTAATAATTACATATTATCATCTTAGAGATAGTTGCTCAAATCACAGTATCAAAGCATATAAAGTGGACACTCAAACAGTGAGACTGCAAACAGTTGAATGTTTGATCTTAGCTCCTGATCCATTATTTCCCTCAGGTCTACTCTGCGTATCATCAGTTTAATTAATTTCGCAAGAATAATTCTATTAATGAATAAATGTTAGCACACATAAAAATATAACTGATTTTTCACCAAACGTATTTGAAAGAGTCCATTCATTGAGAGTTTAGTAATTTTGTTGCCCTCTTCAAACCTATAGATGATTTTGTCCTTGCCTTTTGCTTGTCCTTAATTTGGAGAAATGGATTTTATTATATTCCTCATTTCTCTGTTGAATTAAGTATCATTCAACTTTCAGATTTTTTAGGAGATACTGATATTTATATGTCAAATTTTTTCTGGTTTTATTCATATAGCATTTTCATAGAATGCCATTGATCCTTTTGTTGTCTCTTTCTCTTCTTATGGGAAAAACTTGTCATTTTGGAAATACAGCCCTTACTAATTGAGAGATGTTTTTAACTGATCAAAAATTATAATTATTAAAAGTTCTTTGAATGATTATACAATCTGATATCTTGCAGTAGCTGTTAATGGACTAAGAAACTTTTTTTTGAGTTCTAGCTAATATGTATGCATTAAGTTTAGAAAAGGTCACAAGATTCAGAATATACTGTAGCCCTTATAGCATCTGATTTCAGTCTGTGGAACTTGAGCAGAGGTCTCAGTCATATTTGAAAGACCCTGATCTATGACCTATGAGATTATAAGTGTGTGTTTGAATGTCAATTAGCCTGTCTTCAGTTACTGTGGAAACAATGGAAAGTTAGCACATTAATTGTAATTATTTTACATGATTTTATTTACAAACAAAACTTAAAACTTTTTAACAAAAGAAATTTTCACTTTGCTGATACTGTATTTATGGAAAAAGTGATCAAAAAGTCTGACAATCTGCAATTAACCACTAATTATTTATTTTTGTTAACTTTTATTTTATGTATTTTTTGTCTTTTGAGGCAGGGTTACACTATGCAGTTCAAGCTGGCTTCATAATCACTTTGTAGCCCAGGTTGGCCTTGAACTAGCAGTGACCCTCCTGCCTCAGCCTCCTAAGTGCTGGGATTACAGGCGTGCTCTATCATTCCTGGCCTACTAATTATCTCTTTTACATACAATATTTATTCATAGAAATCAGCATCATTGGCATCCTAGAATTAGAATTATTATTTCGATTTTAGCAGTGATTCCATTAGGAGGTTAAAAAAAAAGATAACTCTAGCAAATTCTGTGGATAATCTTCCTTTTTTCCCTTTATTCGTTGTGATACCATGTGCTTGTGATGCGCTCCCATCCTCTTGGTAAACATGGTTGAAACTCTATAAACTTAAAGTATTACCCTTGGGTTACTAAAGCTGCTTATAGATAAGGAGAGCCTGGGAATTTATTTTCCCTGAGGCGGGCCCATAACCAATGTCTGTGTGGTGGGAGATTCTCAAACCACAGCTCTGCAACTTCAGAGAGAGAGAGAGAGAGAGGAGAGAGAGAGAGAGAGACAGACAGACAGACAGACAGAGACAGACACAGAGACACAGAGACATACAGAGAGACAGAGAAAGAGAGACAGACAGACAGACATACAAAGAGAGAGAAAGAAAGAGAGATAAAGAAGAAAGAACAAACTCAATTTAGTTCTAGCAAATATCACAGGATCAGGCTGTTGCTAAAATTTTGCCTTAAATCTCACACTCATTGGGGTAACTAAATCTATTTCTTTGCTACAGTTTGAGTATGTCTGCTCTAAAATCCAGGTATTGCAGTGTGATAGCAATAAGAAGTGATTAGGCTAGGAAGCATACGACTGTAAATTCAACTCTGGAAGGCTTAGGTAAGAGGGTCACGGTTTCAAGTTTGGCCTAGTTTATTTAACGACATACTGAGAGCCTGTTTCTTGGTTGCTTTTCTCATTGCTGAGACAAAATACCCAATACTCACATGGAAAGAAAGAAAGGTTTATTTTGGCTTGTGGTTTGTACAGGTTTGAATCTGTAGTGAGCTGTCTCCAAGACAGAGAAGCATGGCAGAGGGGCATAACAGAGGAGAAACAGTTGCCATCCTAGCAACAGAAGCAGCAAACAGCAAAGTGTAGCAGTCAAAGTAGCAGCAGAAGTAGCAGTCTCCATTTCCCTTTTATATTCTAACCAGGCTGTAGACCTATTGATTGGTGTCACCCTAGATCCAGACACCTCAGAAAAGCACCATCTATGACCATATGAGGCTTTGTGGGGACATCTAGACACAGGACATTCATAATGCCCTGTCTCAAAATATTTTTAAAAAGGTCTATGAATATAGCTCAGTGAGAAGGCTCTGAGTTCAAACCCTTGTATAAGAAAAACAACAAATAAAACAGGTGATTTATCATGAGTGTTCCACATTTGTGAATGAGTTTAGGTTCCTAAAGTATTTGAAAGAGGAAATTTGTCCCTCTTTTTGTTTTTCCTCTTCTGCCATGTGAGGAAGTGTTTCTCAATTTTGGAGGAGGCTCTGTTGAAGGTACCCTGTTCAAAGCAGAGAGTTCTTACCAGATACTAGTGTCTTGATCTTGAACTTTCCAGACTTCAGAACTATGAGAAATAAAATTCTATTCTTTATAAAATACCAGCATTTAGAATTTTGTTGTGGCCTCATAAGGCAGACTGAGACATTTCCCTCCTTCTTTACTATTTATTTTCTGGAAGCATTTCCTTAAGATGTCACATATCCATCAATCTTCATTTAAAGGTTGCTTTGCAGACAATTCTACTCAAGACAAATGAAAAATGAATGAACAGAATAATCACTATTGATTCCATCATTTATAAAATGTTAAGAAATTAATACAAATGACAGTGAAAACTAACATTTCATAATATTCAAAGATTAAGAAAGGAATAAATATAATTTACTTTTACAAAATCATTTTCTTGAAGGTGAACACATCTAATTTCTTATGCCTCTTGGAAAACAATGATTGACATGCAAAATTGGTATGGTTATGTTTTCCTCTAGAGTATATAATAAAGAAATCTTACTAGTTTTATAACATAACATATATAGGCAAATCATATATTAGAGTCAGTAATACAAAGATATGTTAAAAGAGAGAAAATACTTGCAGTTGAAAAATACCAATTTTCTATATATCTTATTAAAATATTTCCAATATACCTTATTGTCTCCTTGTTTAGGAAACAATGATAATCTTAGCTTCCTTATACCAGTCTAAACTGGTAGAATACTTAGTGCTAGGGACTTTACTATAAAAATACTCAATATTAGAGTGAAAGTGAAATGAAAATCACTCTGACACATTAGATTTTAATTTTGTTCCAGAATTTAAAAACAATATTTACGAATTAATGCTTCAGAATATTTTCATTGGACATAAATCAGAATGAGCAGTCCCTACAAAAAGAGTGAAGATTTTCTGCAGATGTTGATGAAAGTGATCTAAATGGGCTTGTATTATTCATACAAGGCCTGTGCTGATTATCTTACATGCCTGATTTTATTTCCCTAAATTATCCCAATAGTCTTAGAAATTATACATCATCAAATTTTCAGTCTGTGTTATGATATCAAGTCCTTAAAAATTCAGTCATACGATTAGGAAAAAAAAGCATCCATTCAATTAAGAAACAGAGGGACAAGGTGGGTTCAAGTTCACATTGCCTGAAACCACAATATACACACTTAGATCACTCCATGTGAATATTCAGATTTCAGATGTTTTACCACTGTCCAAAATTAGAAACTGAGTAAATCCATATTAATAATAATGAATTTAAACAAGTCTTTTCACTAAAATCTTAATTATTGTATTAAAATTAATTTGATATTTTATATTTGATCCATAATGTGCAATTTATATTTAAATAGAAAATTATTTAAATAAAAACATTGGTTTTACAGTTGTAACTATTCTACTAGGTTCTCAGCAATATATATATTGTATATATTATATACATTACATTATATATATATTGATTTTGTATATATATATATATATATATATATATATAAAATCAAAAGATCTCTAGAGTAAACACCTGACATATACAGCACTGCCTTGACCAAACATTCATGGGGAGCCCATAAAAAATTCTTGCAGAGCTGAAATGTTTATTGTTTTACACAATAAAACGCTATCCTTCAACTCTAAGGAACGCCACCCTATGTGCCAATACAGAAGAGATCTCGGCCAATTTCTGTGGTGATGCTTGACACAATTTTCACAGACAAATTAATAATATTCAAGGGTATATTTAAACTACAAAAATAAATTCTCTATCAAATATGCTAGTTTTTACTCTCCATTGCTCAGGTACATCTAATACTTGGTTGTAATAGGTTTGTTGTCATCCCACCCAAATCTGAACTTTAAAGTTTTTAATTTTTTAGAAGTTTAAATCCTAGAACAAGAAATATACATCTTGCATTGATTCATGAATTAGCATTGATCGACATCAGTTTTCTCTATTTCTCTTGCAACATCATCACTTATTCTTTTATTTATCTATTGCAACATGTAATTGTGTGTGTGTGTGTGTGTCTGTGTGTGTGTGTGTGTAACACTGTAGACTAAACTTAGGTCCTTCTATATACTAGGCAAGTACTCAACCACTGAAACACATCCACTATACTTTTATCTTACTTTGAAGCAGGGTCTCCCTCAATTGTCCCTTCTGCCCAAGCCTCCCAAGCAACTTACAAGTGTATGCAACCACTTTCAGCT